TCGAGCACTTCAAATCTCTCTGCTTTGATGTTGACACAAATCATGATGTAGTGCTTGTTATTACAGTAAGGGAAGAACCACTGCAAAATAATTTTACCACAGTATACCATATGGTAAGCAGTTGCCATATAAGTGATGAACAGTAAGTTAAGTTAAGAACAATTGCAAACTAATTTTACCACTATATACCATATGGTAACCACGCAAAAATTGTGGTGAGATACTTACAAGGTTACATTCTGTGAAGCTGAGGTTTTTGGCCCATTCTTTGTTGGTGATGTCCAAGTCCACTTTGTTGTAGTAATCGTCTGGAGATAGTACAGGATTGCCACTATCAATGTCCAGTTGGCAGTCACCCTGAAAGTTGTGGTTGTTATTATGTGTTTTATATATGTGTTGTCTAAGAACTTTTGACAGAATATGGGTGGGTTTACTTACTGCCAAAGATGTATCGAAGAACCACCTTGTGAATTTTCCTTTTTTTGCTTCATTCCTGTTCATTACATCTCCATACCAGCCGATGACATCAGATGTGATTTCACAGCCAATGTCAATCGACTGTACTGACTCCCTTTTCAGCATGAATGTTCCATCCTTCCTTTTAAACATTATCTCATCACTGTATACAAGCACATCACAACAGGACGGATGGTTTACTTTAATTTATGACATCAAACAATAGGTTACCACAACAAAACCATAGCTTACCACATCTTATCCATATGGTAATAAGTAAACACACCAGCTTACCACATCTTACCATATGGTAATAAGTAAAACACACCAGCTTACCACATTTACCATATGGTAATAAGTAAAACACACCAGCTTACCACATCTTACCATATGGTAATAAGTAAAATAGAACAGGAGTTATGGTTTAATCCATTCTTTAACAACAAACCTTAGCTTACCACATCATACCATATGGTATTAAACTAAAACAAAACAGGACTTGTGCATTACTACATTTTGTAACATTAAACCATAGATTTATCTAATTTTACCATATCTTACCATATTTTACCATATGGTAACAAACTAGATCACTACAGTAACATCATATAACAGTAGAAGTTTTAAGATGATGACTTACCTCTTGGCAAATTTCTTGTTTTTGCATCTTATGTACTCCAGGATGTTGCTGAACATATCATCAGGTGTTGTTTGTGTTGGTGTTGACCATTCAACTGGTGATTTTTGTGACTGTGGAGCAACTGGTTCGGCAGCTGGAGAATTCAGGTCCTCTAGGTAAGCATCTATGCATTCACGGACTTCCTTGAGCTTCTCTTGGCTGTTTGTGTACAGATTTGACCATATAGCATATGACCCCGTCTGTGACTGGGTGCTTTGTGGCTGTTCTGGTGGTGGTGTTGCTCTTGCCTTCTTTTCATTTCCGTGTACATTCTTTATCACGATTCTTCTTTTGCGAGGCTCTGCTGGTTGATCGGTTGCCGTGTTGGTAGTCAACTTTGTTGGTGTTGTTGGTGTTTGACGGTTGAGAGGGCTGAGATCAAAGGATGGAATGTCGTCTTCCCTCGTCACTTTAGGCTTCTCAGCAGCTTCGGTTGTCAGTTTTGGAGCCTCTTCACGAACAACATCATCTGACACCGTCTTCTCGCTGTCAGTTTCTGCAGTCTTTTGTGCAGCTTGCCCTGTATTCCCTTCTTCTGTTGTTTCCTTATCAACTTCCATTGGATCTGCTGTTTTGGTAGCTCCTTTTTCTTCGGTTTCTTCTGCAGATGTCTGTTCTGGAACTGCTTTCTGGGTGTCCTCTTGTTGTGGTGTTCCCTGATTCAGACCTTCTTGAACAGATTGTTCTGGTGGTTCTGTTGCAACTTCCCCCAGTGGATCTCCTTCTTTTGGGATGCTTTCCCTATTCACAGCTCCTGGAGCAGAATCATCTTGCTCCTTTTCTTTTGGCTTCGGTGTAGATGCAGCAAGATCGACTGTAGATGGTTGTGAATCATCTTCTTTCTGTGTTTGCTCCTCGTTCTCCTCTTCGTTCTGGTCTATGTTTGTCTGTTTGAATATTTCATTGAGTGTTTTATTCAAACTGTCATGCATTTCTTCATCATTCTCTTCTTCATCATCTTCACACTGAGATTTTTCTCCTTCTGTGGGCTGAACATATTCATCACAGCTTTCTTTCGCAAGATTCTCCTTGTGTCTGATCAGATTGTCAATTTGG